GACGCACAAGGTGGACTCCTTTCTCCTGCGTGTGTGTGTGTGTGTGTTATTTATAGTCCTGATTGGCGTCATCAGCTCCGAACAACCCACTGCTTTTTCAGAAAGTCACGCTGCGATGCAACATGTTAACCATCAGCATGCGTCATGGCCGAGACCCAACTGCACACCGAGCTGTCACACTGTGTGTGCATTTGTGCATTTTTATGTGCATTTTCAATCTGTGCATATATTTAAAAAAAATGAAGTGGAAATGTGGAAAAGTTTCTACGCGTTTCTACTGCACGCGTTTGTTTTGTTTTATTTTATTTTATTTTGTTTTATTTTGTTTTATTTTATTTTATTTTGTTTTGTTTTGTTTTATTTTATTTTTCTTCAATTTATTTTATTTGATTTTTCTTCAATTTATTTCATTTTATTTTTCTTCAATTTATTTTATTTCATTTTTCTTCAATTTATTTCATTTTATTTTTCTTCAATTTATTTCATTTTATTTATCTTCAATTTATTCAATTCATTTTTTTACTTTAAGCTTTAATAATTTAACAAACAAATAAACAAAACAAATAGAGGAGAAACAAAATAAAATACTAACTAAAATAAATGAAGTAGTTATCAGAAAGAGAAAATAAAGAAAATCGTCAATATACAATCTTCTTTTCCTCAAAGAATATAAGAGTATAAGAAACCCTCCAATAATAAAAGTTGGACTGACTGAGTCAAACCAGTAGCCAGTACATAACATCTGTCTCCGTGTTACATGCAGATCTGTTCTTTTCCCTCTGCTGATGCCAGAAATGTTGAAGCCAAGTGGGTCTCAACATGTTTTCAGTGTGTTTTGTTTTTTCATTGCTTCAAAGCAATGAAAACTCGCTGTAGGAACTCCCCGAGAGTCGCCAAACCCCATAAAAACAGTGAAAACACTGTAAAACTCACAAACTCAGCAATTCACAAAGGGCAGTTTTTCTGGTTTTGGTGTAATTATGACTTAAAACATACACGAGGGGAGAAAAAAAGCTTGAAGAGTTGAGCTTCAACATATATGCTTGGTAGTGGTGAAGCACTTGATGTGGTCATAATGGGGCTTACTGGAAACACGTTGGCAGGACGGACGATTCTACACGCTGACGTTTTGGGAGTTTGGTCCATTTGTCATCTATCGGGGCTTTTTAATAATGCTGCTGTTTCATCTTTATTAAATATGGCTGAGCTGCAAAAATGCTGCTGGTCCAACACTTCCCAAAAGTCCCCCCCTAACAAAGTAGTTGTGTTGGCTCAAGCTAACTACGTAGTTGTGTTGGGTCAACCTAACTAAGTTATTTCCTGTCTAGACAGAAGTTTAAAATAGACTGTGTGCATGTAATGAGCGGAAATTGACAGGTGTTGCTGACTTTCAGAGGAAAACTCACTAAAAATGAGGAGTAACCAATATTCAGACAGCTAACATTAGCATCAACGGATGAGCCAGAAAATAAGCTCTTACGTTTGTTACTTATTTATTTTATTATTTTTATTATTATTTCAAAGATGTGTTAAGTGTTCAGCTTTTATAATTCAACAAACAAATAAACAGAAAAAAGAGGAGAAACAAAATAACATCCTAAAGAAATGACATCACTCTGTCAAAAGACATTGAATAGTTGAATAAAAAGAGTAAAATAAAAAATATATAAAATATATATTTCTGAGTAGTAAACTGACCAAGCCTCTTCTTCTTCCTGAGAAGCCTAACATTATAGATTTTTACTTCTGTTGATTGCATTCATGCTTCAAAAATCATAAAAGTTGTGTTGATGTGTGAAGATCGTCTTGCTGAACAAAACGGTTGTTTGCCATCTTGTGTAATACGTCATCCCTGCAGAACTCTTCATGCTATAAATGAATGGGCTTTCCCCATAGATGGTGACTGAACAGACATTGTTGAAATGATCATTTAAACCAAACCACAGCTGATAAATGTTATTGTATTTCGTTTGTTTGTCTTAACGTCACGTCATTAGTCCCTGAAGCCCAGTTTGTCTTGGACCACTTTCTCTCTTTCCTGTTGTAACGTTGAAGCTCTGACCGACGCTCTCTAGATGAACGCTTCATCTTACAAAACCTAAAAATGTAGAAGAGAGACGGTCCAAAGTGGGTCTGTGGGTCGCTCTGACAGTTTGATTGATGCAGGAGAGACTGTGGGAGGATTTGGCAGCAGGGTTTGAGGTTTGAATGTTGTGGTGGAGCTCATGTGAAATAGTATCTGACACACACACACACACACACACACACACACACACACACACAGAGAGAGAGCCTGGCAGCCATAGTGTTGCTGTCCACAGACAAAATGAGAGACAATCAAGTATCATTTCCTGGATCTCCCTCTGCTCATTATTCATGTGTTCATGGGAGGAAAGTCTCTTCCTCATGTGTTTGTGATGGACAAGAAGACGGACATACAGAGTAGTTTATCAGACTACATACATTTTTACTTCAGGGTATTTGTCAACCTTCTTCCACCTATTTATTTATTTTTATTCCCAGAACAGGAGTCAGGTTTCATTTAGGAAAATGGAGACGCAGTGATGCCAACTGTCCACTGGGTGGTGCTGTAGTAAAGGCGTCCAGATCGTTTTAATCCTCCATGATCAATAATAAAAATGATCAATATTCACCCACCACTGTGGCTTGTAGAGGAGATACTCTCAAGTGTTTAATTGTTCCAGACGTGGAGGGACATCCTCGGTCACATTATATATTTTCTCGTTTGCGGGTAACGAGCTGCTGTGGGATCAGTGCCTTGCTTAAGAGCACTCCAGTGATGGTTTCAAACATGCAGAGCATCTCTCTGGTGATGCATTTCTGTGTCAGAGTCTGTTAGCAGGTTGAGCTGCAGAGAGGTCAAAGGTTAAGATGCAACCTTACAGGTAACAATAAGCTACTTTCACAGTTTCTTATGAGTTCATATTGTTTTATTGATTACAGCATCTTTTAGGCATTTTCTCCTTTTTTAGAAAGAAACCAAATCAAAGACAAACAAAGTAAAATATCATACAGCACCGTAAGTCAGGACATGATCGTAACATACAAAACAAATGAGCTCATTCTCATACAAAAATAAAACTGCAAAAAACATCCCGGGTCAAACTCTTCCTCTTCCTCTTCATCGTTTACATGATAATCTTCTGAACAGGACCAACGTCACGAGGAGTTCAGTTAAAAGAAAACTCTGCAACGGTGCAAATTAAATGGATCCATAAGTAGTCTTCCATGTTGATGAAGTTCTCCGCATGGCACCACATCTGAGCTCGGTCAGGACTGTATCTCAGGTCAAACCCTCCTGGTACCCGGGGACGATGCCTTCAGGCTCCCGTGGTTTGTTTCAGCCTCGTGTCTGAACTGTGAGGACGTCTGGCGCCTCCTGGTGGTCGTCTGGTGGCTACGCTCTCTGCACGGCACTCAGCGGACTGTTGGACTCTGCAAGAACAGCAGCGGCATCGCAGAGAAACACAATGTTAAACACTCGAGCCGTGTGTGTGTGTGTGTGTGTGTGTGTGTGTGTGTGTGTGTGTGTGTGTGTGTGTGTGTGTTGGTGTGGGACTGTATGTGGGTGCGTGGGGGGGGGGGGGCGGCGTTCAGTGGTTACCTGATGGCAGCTCGGCCGTCTGTATGCGGCTCTCCTCCAGCGTTACGAAGCAGCGGCTCTTCTCTCCTCCCGTCTCGATGTCACAGGTCAGAACCGCGATGGGACCCTTCCCCCCCTTCAGGTGGACCTGGATGTTGTCCTGCGTCAACACACACACACACACACACACACACACACACACACACACACACACA